TTTGCTAACTTGAGACACCTATGGCGTCAGAATGGTTTATCCCTGAATCTGAAGGGACGTGTGTATCAAGCTACAGTACGAGACGTTTTTTATATGGCTTTGAGACTTGGCCTATTCGAGCAGCGGAACTGGGACGTCTTCAGGTGTTCGACAGTTGTTGTCTCAGAACCATGGCTCGTGTGGTTTGGTGTCAGCGAATCAGTAATGAGGCAGTTAGAAAGCGCGTTTTCGGGAAAACAAGGTGCGTTTAGCATACAGATATACTATTTGTAAAATAGCACAGGTTACAGATCGTATATGAGAGAATGGAAGTCAATTTATGCTGCCTAATGCTTTCCAAAGGTTGAGAGCACATTCTAAACTAATGGTCTCTGAAGTAGAATCAAGCCGATCTATACTATTCTGATGAAAATGTACCTTGTTTAAATTAACGCGTAATAAATGACGTTGCGATTTGTGAATTTTGGTTCTAAAACCTATATTTCACATTCATTCCGAATGGGATTTTATATGTGCCGATCTTATTTTGTTTAGTTTATTAAAACGTCAGATAAAAGCATCTGGCAATGCACGATGCATAACTGGGGTTATTGTTGCACTCAGGTGTAACGGTGTCAGCTACCTCATACAAAATGCTCAGATGATTAAAAAAAACGATTCGATGAAGATCAATTTACATCCCGGTGTCAGTTTCATGGGCTGGTTACCGAGTAATTCCTTCAATAAGATATTCTTGACTTCAGATTCAAAACGCGTAGTTTATAAAAGATGCGCAGTTGCATAATAAAGCATTTTTCAACTGACTGCATAATAACACCCACGTGTGCCGGATAAGATTACGAAAGAATCTGCGTAAGAATAAGCAATTTTGGACTAAATGCTTCCATGCACGAATGGGCAATGTCTTCTCGGATTACGCTTCTCCAGCTTGTTGAAAATAGACTTAAATGAAATTCACCTCCAGTTCTTCTTTGAAACGTCTATCCACCAGTCAGGCACTAATCAATGACACCAAACAAGTTAAGGACGCAGTGTCGGCTTAGAGCCAACTTATTTTGATGTTGCTTATGAACGATAAACAGTGGGTTCGCGTAAAGCTCTGCCTAACTAAAGTAAAGCCAAGCACCATGCTTGCAGAACGACGATGAAAACTGGAGTTAAATTAGCACTTGTTCTAAATCGCCTTTCATTTTAGTTAGCGTTATTTACCGGTTCGAAATGTATCCACTTCCATTGGGCGCCTGAGTAATCCACGGTCACAAGAGGTGCAATACACTCACGTGGAGAAGAGTCCAGTTTTTATGCAATATTTCCATGTGAGTTTAGTAGTTTGTACTTATGCAAGACAGACGTACAAAAAATGGTATATGTTGTCTATAGAGGAAAATGTCGGTAGCTCAGGTAGTGTAGATGGCCTTTGGCTTGTTCGCTGAGCTGGACAATTTGATTGCAAACGTTTCATCACCAATCGGTTGGACATCATCAGTGCGTTATTGGGGAGCGTAGTAGTGCGTAGCGGTGGGTTAGTGGTTGTGTGGTTGTATTGTGTTTACCAACTAGTGGAACATTCAAGTTGTCATAAGGAGTTGAGTGGCAGAGCAAAGCAGCAAATGAAGCAGGCTACGAACGGAATATTGGGAACAAAAAGAGGACTTCACTGAGAGGCGGTCGATGTGTCTACAAATGCTCAGTTAGAAATTTTATTCAAAGCAATGTTCACGTATCATCCTGAATCTGGCATCCATGCTGTGCATTCAAATTACATTTCGCTAACCTCACAGGCCGGAACGTCTGAACCAAACCAGATCAATTCCTTTGAGTTTGCAGCATGTGATTGGTTGTCTCTGATTATGTTCTGTGCTCTCCGTCAACAGTCGGTCCTAATCCTAAAGATGAACTTGTTATTTGCTGATCTCGCCGTCGCGTCACGATGACGCATGGGAATCTTCGATGACCAGCAGTTTTTGGTGAGCCAGATTGGTGGTCATATAAGCACACATATGAGCACTGCCCTCTTGACAACCTGAAGGAACTTGCCGCCAAAATTTTATTCGGATTTTTACTCTCATCACTATGTTGCGTTTTCACTAATACTGCCTTCGTAAATAGCAGCACAAACGCTGCTGCATCACCATCGGACAGAACGCATCGATTTGTTCGTAGCACAAACGACCAAACACCTTACATCTCCGGACAACCACTCAAAACAGCTGAATGGAAACCAACATGACGAAGATCAAAATCAAATTCTAGTTCCCGCATATTGCACCCACCCTAGTGGAATTCGAAACTGATCACATGGATCCAATCTTATGATGAATGTAATACGACAGCGTCCAGGTATTCACTAATGTTCCCGGCCATATTCTTCTCTGTCGGGTCCCTAGATGGTGTACATTGGAAGCAAGCGTTGTTTTTATGTTTCTGCAGACAATTCTGATGAAAAGCTCACTGATTCTCACGCAAAGAACGACGAGCTATCCGAGCCACCATGCATCCACCGCGTCAACCTTTCAAGATTCGCGATGTTGACAAAACGTATTCTCACCTCACATGCCGGGTGCCAAAGCATTTAGAAGGCGCATAATTTTCAAACAAACCGATCAACCTTCCGTTTGAAGCTGATATCCTCGGAACAACTGCGAGGAATACGAAAAAATCAATAAATGGCGCGTCATTTTGTTGATGAGTCAATAATCATTCTTTTTTGTTTCCGATTACTTCAGGTTAATAATCCATTACAAGAACATGTGTAGTCTTGGGAGCAAGATCATTCTAAGCATCCTCAATAGTGTCGTAATCGTAAGTAACCACACATGTTCCAATGTGTTCTGCGTTCTCTGTTCATCAGTTTGCTTTGTTTCGTCTCGCTGCGTACAATCAAACAATATGGTTATACTTTCTAACGGAATATTTTCGAGAAACTCTTGGCTCTGTGATGTCGTGACCATTACGTCTTACCCTCCGGTTCCGTCTTGATCATCGGACAAGCAGAACCAATTTGGGTTTACTGCTCCAAGATTTCATCAGTACTGAATGAGTTCAGTGACACTGAATTTGAGCTGTATTTGCTTAACGCGCCAGTAAGGCAGACAATTGAAAGTGCGCCAGTGCACCATGGAGCAACCACTGTAAACTAGACGACCGTAATACGTTTTACGAAACTGATGTCTAGAAAATTCCTGCGGTTGAAACCCCGTATTATTTTGTTAGCAGTTATTAGGAAGCACCTCGGATGCTTTTAAATTCCCCGGTCAACTTTCAGTAAGGTTTCGGAAGGGTGAAAAGATTTCGAATTGTCCAACAGTCATCCAAGAGCACACCGCTGCTCTTTCATCCTGGCCCAGAATCATCAACATTGCTCGTCTCACGTACCTACAAGTAAATTTGAAACTCAAACTTACCGCCCAATAGTACATTTGGTTACTGTTGGCTAATGAACAATGTGACAAAGCCACATTTAGACAGAACAGAGCGCCATTCAACCAGTGAATCCGCACAACCTGGACCTGCATTCACTGGCTCCCCAAATAAAGATTGTTGGTCGTATGAATCCTTCGTTCTCAGCTACTGACAGTCTGTTAGTAGCGTGAGGGGACCTAGGAATATTCAATGAAGATTTTGACCCGTGAGTGATGCTCATCTATTACAATTGACCTCAAACCCCTGTTTTTGTTAGAAAATCTCGAAGTGAGTCAGATTTTTTGCCGCTATCTGTGTGAGAAATGAGCCTGTTATTGCAGGATCCTTGGTTCGTCAAAACCACAGTTTTCAGGCTCTCAGCTATATGACTAAGTGCTTCCTGGTTATAGCTAGGCAATTCCAGTTGTACCTTCATTCACAAATATGCACGAAGTTCAAGACAATCTGCGATTTGTTGACACTTGTTAAATGTTGAGAGGATACCTGGGGTAATCAGGTGAAAAAACATGCTCTATTCATCTTCGGATAGGTCAAAAATGTGAATCAGTGAAGCCTGTTTACTAAACTGCAGTCCGATATGCGCTTTTCTCAGTGGTAGAGAAGCGATTTATAACTGTATGAGGATGGTGGTGGAATGCCTTGTGTAGACGTATCGCGATACCCATTTTAGTTTAAACATTCCCGTCTCGATCTGGCCTTGGTGCCCAACATTATTTGAAATTCCGGCACACCCCAGTTATCCACCAAAGAGTCCTTTTATAGTGGCGAAATATAAAAATACAGAAAGATTACACAGTTGCTAGATATATGGTTTAGGGTGTGACCGATGGGTTGCCTAAGACTATTTGTCTTGGAGGCTTTTTTTGGTAAAATTTGATGTTTCTGAACGCTAAACAGATTGTTCTGTCCGGTAACTATCCTTAGCAAGGTAATGCTAGACCATTAACACTCTAAAAGGTGTATTATTTTATATTTTTCAGAATTGTGTTTGTTAAAATACACAATTTATTTCAGACTGCTTCCCACAAAGCGGGAGTTGAAACGGGAGCTCTATTGTTTCGGGCATCCTTATGGACCCAATAAAGATCCAGTCAAGTCAGGTGATCTACAATTTGGAAGTGTGCCTTTTGTAGGCGAGAGTCATCATCATCATCGATAGCATGACATCAGTGTTAAACACGGATGCTTCACTGCCGTACAACCATGACTTATTTGAAAGCCTTATTGTGAAAAAATGATAAAGGTGGATGTGGGAGGGACTTAGTGCCAGCTTAACATAGACATTCCGAGGTGCCTATACCTCCAGACATTCAGTCAGGCAATCTGGACAGAAACTGACAACAAGAACGCCACTGACCTCGGTTGGCAGTCATA